TTAGTGAGTCTACATGGTTCATCACACACATCTGTTATAATCTATCTTCCAAACGCCTCCTGTATGCTAAAACACTTCATCATGTTTGCAGCAATTCTTGATCACTTTAGTGAAATTTAAACATTTGAGTATGTAAAACTAAACAGATTAATAGTGTATATTTTAGACTTGTCATGATACCAGATGTTAAAACTGTGATATTTTACTAACTACGGTATATTGATACCTGTTTGGATACAACGGCATATAAAACTTCTGCACACTGTCTAGTTGCAAAAATACATTGACAGCGTTTGCACATGTATTTGTACAACTCAGACAGTGCTTTCTCTCTTTTGGTTTAAAGAATATGACCATCATTGATTATTAAAATACAGAAGAATGATTAAGGCATTGACAATTTGGAGAATCTTAATATTTGTTATGGTGTTGTCTTTATAACATTCATTACATCTCACTACATTTATCCTGACTTTTGGTCTGAACACCTTTGGATACACAATGCTGATATCATTCTTGTAGATTGTGTTAAAATATTTGTGTTATTTGTGCAGGCGTTTGTTGAGCTGGGCTCCATGGATCAGGCGAAGGACATGGTGAAGTTCCACGGAAACTATCCTCCCACTGTGAACGGACAGCAGATGGAGTTCACAATCTCACACACCTTCAACTTCCTCCAGGTAGATGTTCATCCGATCAGCAGCTTTTCTTTGTTCACATCCTGCAGCTCTTTAACATCCACATGACTTCCTGAAGAAGCTTCTATTTGTTTGTTGATCTGTTTGTTGTTGTTTTTCACTGCGATTGGCTCAGATGTTTCAGAGACATGAAACCTGCAGTCTCAGAACACATCGGCTTATCTCTGTCGACAATATGTCCTCCATGATTAACAGTCCATTTTGGGCTTATTGTGTAGACTAGGTTAAATTATCAATATTGCAATCTATCGTTGTCCTGACCCATTTGATACTATTATCGATTCACTGCTGCCAAATTTTCCCTGGCTCACTGCGTCAGTACCTCATGATTCCTCATGGTGGTGCATGACATGAATGAGGGTAGTCTGAAGGAAACTTAGGTGGCCAAAGACGAAGTTAAGACAAATGAAGAAGAAGACAGCAGGATAAAAATAATAATAATAATAATAATAAAGTTTATATATATAGCGCTTTTCGCAGACAAAGGTCACAAAGTGCTTTACATCAACAAAAAACACAAAAACAGCATACATACAATGAAAGAAGAAAAAGAAAAAAATGAGTAAGTCATGGACAACATTATAAAATCCTGCTATAACCAGGAACAATAAAACATAGATGAGTAGGTACACTGGGTGGACCTGATTACCCATAGGCCTGTCTAAACATTAACCTTTTTAATTGTTTTTTAAAAGACTCAACCGAGTCAGAAAGAGGATAATTGTCAGACTGCAGTAAAAAGAAGTTAAAGGATGAAGCACTTTACCTTGTTAGTGGCATTTTACATTCTTCAGTTAATTTGGTCAGGTGAGGTATCAACATTTGATTGTCTTGCATTAAATCAAATATGCAGAATGGCTGTATTGTGATTTCATTATCTTGGGCCACATATTGCGTATTTTAACTTTGATAATTCCCAGCCCTAGTGTAGACAGCAGATAATCAGATTATAGATCAATGAAAGCCAGGCTAAGACGTCTGTCCGTGTGTTTGTCAATGCTTATGGTCTTACTGCAATCTGAGATATTCTATGTTTGATTTTGATGTTGTTTGGTGACATATTTTAAGGGGATGATATCCCTTTTCTTACCCACAACCCCCGGGTTCGACTTGATCTACTTTGTCACTGTAGAGATCCAACAATTGAAGATACAAATCAACATTTTCAACATGATTGCTGAAATGTTGTGACGTGTGACCCATTAAAGGGACAGTCTTGTGTGGTCGTTTGGGGCACTAGTCAATAGTATGTGTGTTACAAAATTGTCTTCAGTCGTTAGTTGATTGGTTCACATATTTCCTAACAGCTGATGTGTTCCGATCACCTGAACTGTTTATTTTTCTGCAGACAGCGAATGCCTGCAAAGAAACGCTAATGGAGGTTAAATACTCAGTCTAGAAATGAAAACCTGAACACCAACAACAATCTTGTTTCTCATCTACAGATTCTACATTTATATGCACTGTCTGCTAAATGTATACAATGAGAGCATTATTGTGATTGGTTCAAAGTGTGATGACTTCACCTTAATGCAAAGCAAGTGAAGTTCATTCATACATGGAGCAGTTCAACGTGCTTCAGAGTTAAAAGAGGACATCATTAACATTAAGAGCAGCCTGTTTGCAGTGTGCGCAGGGATCAGCCTGCTAGATTACATTTAGCCTGCAGTGTCTGAAGGTGAATACGAGTCCAGTCACATTTCTTCTCTATAATTGTTCTGCAAGCCTGTCACAGGTTCAGATGAAGTGATTTAAAGCACTCAGACTATTTTCAGTTTAGCATTTTTCTAGTTACAGGTTCATAGTGAGTCACATGTGAAACACTTTAAAGGAAGTAGAAGGGTAGTTTCTTCAAAAATGCCCTCACACACCAGGGCAGGTTAGAATGAAAAGCAGAGAACTGAATGATGCAGGACAGGCAAAAAAAGAAAAGATGGTAATTTTTTCGATCATTCATCAGAAGGAAGACAGATTCAGGATTTGAAGGGATTGGAAACCGATCCAGTATTTTCTTCTTAGACAGGTATGTAAAGTGTCTGTACTGACTTAACCTTTAGTTTATGTTAGCCAATAACAAGCTGTACTTTACTTTCATTATTATGAAGACATACCATAACGGGTAATGTTAATGTGCAGTCAGTGTTGTCAGATTAGTATTATTCCTACACAGATAGTTTCATTAGCTCATCGCTATGCATCCTGCAAACAGCTGTGTTTAAGAAATAGTACTACTGTGTCGCTCTTCCACTTTTCTTACAAAACAAATGCACGCGCTAAAATCTTTCTGACACCAGGCGTGCTGCTTTTGTCCACAGGAAGCTCTAAAATCAACACATTATGAAAGTTATTTGCAGTTGCTTCACAGACTTTGGTTACTCAGGAGATTTTCTGTTCCACAGCTAGTGTTTTGTGAAGTGAGCTTTAGCGTCACGTGAACATGCAGAACTAGATCAAGCTTCTCAGCTGTTAGACTTCAAGATATGGACGTGTGTCCTAAATCTTTATGCTGCCCTCTGCTGGAGAGAACTGTGAATTCTAATCTCTTGCGTTGTGTCTCCTCACAGAGTTCTCGGGTAGTCAGTTTCACTCCGCCTCCAACAGGAGAGGACGGTCAATCAGACCTGATCAGCATCATTAAACGCTTTGGCTCACCGCTTTACACCCTGTTCCTGCCCTCCAAGGTAAGAAGAACTGAAGAATGTTGTGCTTTGGAAATTGTACTTTGTCTCTCTTTGTATTTCTGTCTGTAACTTTGTGTTTTTGCTGCTGCCTGTCTTGGCCAGGTCTCCCTTGAAAAATAGTTTTTTTTTTAATCTGAATGGGACCAACCTGGTTAAAGTGTCTGAGAGTGTCTGAGAACATAACGGAATGAATCCTTACAGAGATAAGACCTTTTTGTTTAAGAGGAAGATGATTTTATAATCCCACGCAGCTGTGACATCACTCTCTACAAACACACCACACTAGTGAGACAGAGATCTGGTTCACAGAAAAGCTTCAAGTCTTTTTAAACACTAGAAATGACAATGAGTTAATCGGTGACAAAAAATGAGAACTTTTCATTGACATACTAGTTTAGATCATTTAAGCCACAGGATTGCACTGTAAACATTTCAGCCTCTCCCACTGCTGCAGGCTCCTGAAACTATTCTGAAAGTCTTTGTGCCTGGTTGTCATTAAGAATTCAAAATATGTCAAACAACAGCTTACGTTTCGAGACTGCTCAGAAGTCAATCTTTTCAATGAGAAAAGTTTGATCAGTTTTGTTCTTTAGAAGGTCTCTGAGAGAAGTCTCCAGCAGATTCTTGAAGCTGTTCATAAGTGGCCAAATGAATTGCACCTGTTCTTAAATTGATGAAGCCATACATGGCCTCTTACACTGGGATCTCCTGCCTGTTGCTTCTAATTAGCTTTTTTTTTTTACCTTTGCTGTCCATATAAGGGCATGAGACTGCAGCTATGTGCACACACAGAAGTCACACAGGATTGAGAACAGAAGCGAAGAGAAATGGAGAATGAGAAAATTGATATTTCAAAAATAAGGTGCTAATTAACCCTGAATGTAAGAAAAATGTGAGTGGTTATGAAATGGAGCTGCTGAAAGGGAAAGATAAACACGCTGATTTATGGTGTTATATCGAGTCTATGATGGATATAAAATCTAAACTTTAAACATTTGATAGATGATGTCACTCGTTCAGAGAACTGAAGGGAGACACTGGTCATTTTCAGTAATTATTAGCACATTTTGAAGGTGCATTGATTGAAAAGCTACTGCTGTAAAAAGGGAACGAGTGACAGATCTGTCAATGAAACACCCCTGTGACTAAACATTGCATGAATGAAATACAAGTTGGCATCTTGTAAATCATAAATCTATAAATTTCAGTTAATATAAATGTTCAACAACAAAAACACACATTAACCAATATCTTTGCACGAGCATGCTCGTCCTCAAATGTGCGTACAAGTACTCTTAAGTGTTAGTCGATTTTGCTCTCAGTTAGGAACAAATCCCTGATAAGAAAATCAGAATCTTCTGAAAACTGCAGTGAGGCTCATGATCGTTGTTGTTTACTCGTTGTAGTGACTGCAGTAATATTCTTTAGTATCACTCAATAACACGGCTGTTTGTCTGTTTCAGTCATTTGTAGAGATGAAAGAAACGAGTGACGCTCAGAAGTTGGTCGATTATTATTCCTCCAACTCTCTGAGGATCAACGATGACCTCATCAAAGTGTCCTTCTCCGGAGAATACAAGAGCCTCATGTGAGTGTGTCACACCTGATGGAGGATCAATCACTATATGCTGATTTATAGATTATTGACTGTGTTTGCGCCTCCATTCTGTCTCCTACAGGAGGGTTCCATCAGCCAACAGGTACGAAGAGGAAACCAGGGGGACGAGGAGTTCAAGCAAAGACAAAGAGGAGAAGAAGACCGAGAGAGACAGGAAAAGGAGCAGCAGAGATCGAGACAAAAGCGGGACCAGAAACAGGTCTAGGTCCAGGGAAAAGTCTGATAAAGAGAGAAGTGGAGGAACCAGGTCCAAGTCCAAAGAGGAAACATCCAGAACACGGTCCAGGTCTCGTGATAGATCTAGAGGAGACAGGGGAACTAGAACCAGGTCTAAGTCCAAAGAAAAGGACATCAATGAGAAGAAGTCTGAGTCCAAAGAAGAATCCAGCAGAGAGAGGAGTTCCAGGTCTGAGTCTGATCTCAGAGAGAATTCAGTCAAAGAAGAAACAGAGGCGTTTGGTAAAAAAACAGAACCTGAGTGAACTGCAGCATGAGAGAATGAGTTATTTTTCAGTTTTGACTCTTGATTCCAAAATATCCCCCCAAAAAAATGTGGTCTTGATTATCTCCTCATATAATAAATAAGAAATCAAGACAAATAAGTAAACAATTGTTATTTCAAATGACTGTTTTCAAGAATGTATTGCCTCATAAGCTGATCATGTTTTGACAGCCGTGACGAACAGTTAGGGACGACTTTATGTGCTGATCTTCTTCAGCATTTGTTTCCCTGAATGAGATGAAAATCATCGTCCATCATCAAGGCTGGCAAAATGAATCAAGATAATCAGTGGATCATTTAAATCGTAAAAAACTAAACATCAAGTTCTTTTGTGGCCTGACTTCCTTTTCTGTTGTTGATCTGAGCAGAAAATGAAAAAGGGTCATGCTCTGGTTCAGGATTCTGAAGTGAATATGACAGAAGTCTTAATGATGAGCGTTTGTACCATCATGAAGGCACTGGGTACATCTGATAAACTGTTATTTATCATTGAAGTTGAGGATTGATTTCCTGTTTTTATATCATTAACAGTATAATAGAATCCACTCTTTCTCTTGACAGTCACCACAGAGTCCAGCTCTGATCCAGATCCTTTCAAAGACTCCAATCCTGAAACTGCAGAAAATCCACAAATGGAAGAGGAAGCACAGTAAGTTTCTGGTGTTTTAACCCTACAACTTAATGTTATATAATAATATATTGATCCAAATGTATTTACTTAACCGTGTGGTCTGCAGGTCGTCTGCAGACGAGAGCGACATCGAGGGGATGGAGGTGATTGGAGAGGATGGAGAGAGTCTACAGGACGAGGAGATGGAAACTTTGGATGATGCTGATGTAGAGGAGGAGGAGGAAGAGAGAGATCATAAGAAGGATGAAGAGCAGGAGGCGGAGGAAACAGCTGAGAAAGATGAATGTCCTGCAGAGAGAACAGACTCACTTGTAGAAGGTAGAAATCAAATCTAATCTGTCTCTGTAGAAGAAAACACAAATTATCATTGAAGTAGCAAAAACTCAAAAATCAGGTTTGTCCTGTAACCTCGCCAATATTTTCTTGTTTTTACCACTTTGGAAGAAACGGGAACAGTTCATCAAACGCGCAGACTTGATACAAAATAAATCCAGTGAGAGTTGATTCTTAAAGTTGCTGATAGTTTTATTACAAATAAAAGTAAACCAAAAAGTACGTGTAGTGTCTCCAATGATCTAAAAAACATGTAATGCATATAATTAAACGCGACTGCTGAGCCTGCGGTCAATGACGGTATGCACCTTCCTCCCAGATGCGCTCTGCACTCCCCCTGATAGACGCGCCACTCTGCCTATGGAGGGCGTACACACACAATTAGTTACAAATTAAATGCAAATACAATAAACTTAAATGTGGCTCCTACAATCATAAACGGATATCTGTTAAAGAAACGTGTGATCTTTTTTTGTATAGATCAAGAGAAGAATGAGGAGAATCATGGAGAGGCAGATGATCAGGAGGAGGAGGAGAAGAAGGAAGAGAGCGATCATCATGAGCAGCAGGAGGAGAAACAAATGGAGGAAGAGGAGCAGCAGGATTGTTTAAAGGAAGATGAAATAGAGGAGGAGAATCTTTTTAAGCAGGCGGAGGAAGCCCAATCCACGAGAGAAGCTGAGGAGATGATGGAGACTCAGCCGGAGGAAGATGAGGTGGACACACAAAACACATATTTTATAAATGTTTTTTCCTGCTTCTTCTGTCCTTTGCTGATTACCTCCGGTTTCTATGATTACTATTGTATTGATCCATCAACACATTTGCACACATGTACAGCCGTGCGATAGTGCTACATGTATTTATACTCATATGAGATATACAGGTGGTCAATCTATAAACCTTCTATTTTATATATTGTAACTTCATGTGCTTTGCAACTTACTGATTGGCTGACACAGAGGATGTTTTTTGTCTCATTAATTCGGACTGGAATCACTGCAACAAAATACAAGTCCTCCTATTGGGTCATTTCTTCATTTCAGTTATTGTAATAGGCAAACATTCAACATGTTTTCAAGAAGTACTGGACCATATAATACCATATGTGCAGACTGTGTGCTGGTTGGTGTTGTGACAGAAAGCTCCTCAGACCTGAATAATATCCAACTAACTCCACATATCTTTAAAACAGAAAAATAAATAAACTGAAGAGTATTCAGACACAGGCTGCTGTCTTGTGTTCTGCTTCAGGCCTGTGTGTTTCTACTAACTGACATCTTTACTTCCTGGTCCTTTTTAAAGGTGTTGGATTCTGAGAGATGCTCTAATTCTTATTTAATCTCTGTTTTCTTGGTGTTTGTATGTTTTTGGTAACTCTGGACTGCTACTGACTTCTCAACTCCCTTAAAAACACATCCTGTAATCTGAGTGACAGTCATCTGGTTGAATAAAGGTTTCATGTTTCATGATTTCAGGTTAACTTTCACTTCACTGTCTCCTCTACAGAGTACACACTGTCTGAGTGATGTCTCCTCTACAGAGTGCACACTGTCTCTGAGTGATGCATTCACAAGCACAGCTGTCTGAGCTGAAAATGTAACTTTCTAACTCAGAGACGCTCTAAAATGGTCTCGTCTGTCTCTCCTCTGTGTGTTTGTGTGACACAGTCAGATTTCCCCGTCGACCTCGACAGCTGCATCACCCTGGATGAACTGGAAGAAGACGAGTGTGATTATCTAGGTACACCCAGAATGACTGACAGGGTTAAGAGAGTCCCTGCGTCATCTTAGTTTAAGGCTTTTAAAAATCTTAGTTGTCATTTAAATGAATAATCCAGCTCTTAAAATTCACTCTTCATATCCACATGTTGTCTTGACTTGTGTGATCTGAATCTTGTGTTTTTTGTTTTGTTGCAGATGAAGAAGTCAGACATGAATCTGAGTAAGAAGAAACATTCTTTTTAATCAAACGGCGTGTTCAGTTTCAAAGTGTTTTTATTCATTGATTATCTTTTTATGTTTCCAGTCTCCTGCCAGCCGAGTTCTTTATTTGAAAACGTTCCGCTGGATTTCTCTGACGTAGAGTTCATTCGACTGGTGAGAGGCTACGGGACAGCGGTACACTTTTTCAGGATCCCCGGACGCCACTGCGTAAAAAACGATTCCTCATTCATACATCTTATGTTTGATATTGATGTTTAGATTTGTATTTCTCGTTTATATTTCTTCTGGGGATGTCTTATTTTATACCTATTGCTGCTATGTATTTTTCTCCCCCTTATGCCATTAGAAGGGCAACTATATGCTCAATTTTCCCCCTGGGGAAATGATACAGTAATCTTGACTCTTTCTTCTGTAAGCTGTAAAGGTTTGGACCAAAAGCTATTTGACCTTTTTTTTTCACAACAGGGTTACCGTTAAATCACTTGTGTGAGACGCACTTTTAATACCTATTTTTCCATCTAAAACATGGGCTGCGTCCTATATACCGGGGGCAAATATATCAGTATATTGGTCACACCGGTATATGACAGAGACATGCTTTTCGGGATCTTACTGCTGAAGTAATCCAGAGTGAAGCCTTTTTGTAATTTACTATTTCCAGTTAAACCGACACTCACCAGTAACAGATGAATGGGCGCTCCTCTTGTTGATGTATAATGGTTCAAAAAATGATGGTGTTTATTAAGCTGAAATCTCTGAACACGCCCAAATGTTACCCCTCTGAGAGTCACACAAAGCAACTATTTTTTTTTCCCTTTTCGTCTGAACACACCTTAGCTCTACTCTTCACCTGCTGAAAACTTTAAAGCATTCAGTGGACATGTTCTTTATTCTCTGCACATGTTAGCCTTCTTTAGCTCTTCCCAGATTCCAGCTCCCGGATTGTTTCTTTGATTCTTCATGTTGACTCTTTGTGTGTTTCAGGGTTTCATTGAGATGTCGTCGTCCTCAGAGGCTCAGAGAGCCATCAAGGGTCTGAAAGACAAACCGGTCCGTGTGAACGGCAGCAGAATCTACGCCATGATCTCCAGCAACTACACCAGACTCAGCAAGGGGTCAGCGCCTCACACCTTCTCCTCTCTGTTTTAGGCCTGAATGATATCTAATTTTAACATCACCATTGTGGTGTGTGCATGTGCAATAATGATATTGTATCATGTGGCTTGAGGCACATCATGCTGCCACTAATGTATATACTATAAGTTAAAATAATGAATATATTTTGATTGAAATGTTCATTGTCAGATCACTCATGGTTTATCTCTGTCCATTGCAGGTGGACGGTGGGGTCGCTGTTGGACTCTGAAGAGGAGAATAAGAGCAGGAGTCAGGGCAGCAGGAGGAGCGAGAGACTCAAAAAACCTGCAGACAGGGACGAGCCCAGCAGGAAGTCTGAGGGGAGGAAACAGTCCTCCAAAAAGACTCCAGAGAGAGAGTCATCGTCCAGAAAGAGTGAAGAAAAGGAGTCCAGAACAACAAGAAAGAGGTCTTCAGAAAAAGAGTCTGCATCCAAACAGAATCCAGAAAAGGTCTCCAGAACGAGTCCAGAGAAAGAGGCGAAAGAAAAAGAGTCGGCATCCAAACATTCTGCGAAGGAGTCACATGATAAAAAGAGTGAAGAAAATGAGTCGGCGTCCAAAACAGACAAGAAAAGGGTTGATAAAAAGTCTTCTTCAGAAACGGACAGGTCTGAAAAAAATTATCCTGAAAAGACGTCAGAAAAAAGTTCCAGGAGGACTCCAGAGAGAGAGTCATCGTCAAGAAAGAGTGACGAAAAGGAGTCAAAAACATCTAAAAGGAAGTCCTCAGAAAAAGAGTCTAAGCCCAGAAAATCTTTGGAGGAGTCCTCAGACAAGCCGACTGATGAAAAGAGTTCAGAGAGGGAGTCAAAGATTGAAGAAAGCGGGTCAGAAAGAAGCTCGAAAAGGACTCCAGAGACGGAGTCCAAAGAGAAGAAATCCACTGATTCAGACTCTATTCAGACTCCAGAAAAAGACTCGGGATCTGAAATGAGTCAGAACAAGACCATGAAGAGAAAGGGAGCTCGGGAGAACGACTCGGTGCCTGAGAAGAAAGGCAAGAAGAACGAATCGGAGGGCGAGTCAGAACCTGCTGAAGCTCCAGAGGGAGAAGAGCTGGAGATCCAGGAGACACCTGAACCAGGACTAAAGGAGTCTGGGAGTCCACATCCACCAGGCTCAACTGGAAATCCTGCAAAACTGAAATGTGAACAGGTACAGCTGAAAACCTGCAGCAGGGCTACACGTCTGTGTTCAAACACAGGGCATGAATCTGAACAGGTTGTAGAATTGTTTGGTTTGGTTGATAGCACATTGTAAATGATACCATCTGTTATTTTAATCCTTTATACTATTGAAAAGTAATGAAGCATCACAAGTATCTTCAGTCACATTTGAACCAATAGCTGCCGTGAGAGAAAGAGAGCACCTAAATTCCACAAAGCCAATGTTTTTGTGGAATTCAGTCAGAGTGCAGGAGTTAAAAAATACCCAATATTGGGCATCTGGGACTTGTTTTTGTTGCCATGGTTTCAAAGCTCTTTATTGTTCAATTTTCACTTGAATCATTTACGTTAAAAATTCTGGTATCAGAGGAAACCTATTTCTAGCAGAGTTGAGACTGAAGTCCAGACCTTCATGATCAGTTATTGGAGAGAGAGGAGTTTACATGTGAGTCAGACACACACATTAGCACACATTGCTTTTGAACAAAACTTTAGTAAACACTAACTAGCACGACAGAGATGAAAATGAGTTCAAATAAACACACACTTAAGTGTTTGTGCTTTCTGTCAGCTCAATGATCTGTGTTTGTT